CTGTTATGGCATCCAGTCATCCTCAGCTTGTTATTCCTGCAAAAAATTTGTCAACGAGCGAAGCCGCTTTTGCAAAAAATATGGTTCTGAAAGGAATCGAACATCTCATTTTCACTATTTCTGGACCCTTAGGTTTATGACCTGTTACCCTACGAGCTTTGCTCCACTCAGCCATGTCTAAATACAAGGTTTGGCACATGTTTTACCTAGACTGATCTCTTATCTCCTATTCTATTATTTCTCTGAATAGTAGAGTAGAAAGATTCGACTTAGGTGTCATGTACAAAAAGACATTTTAAGATGCAGTCTTCCTGTGTTTCATCCCTTAGCTGTAAACACAGACCGCACTATGCATACGGGTAGGAGTGGGAATCGTCAATACAGCCCGCTACCCGCCATGTATTGAAAGGACATGTAACTAATTTGCAAGACGGCGATTTGAAAGAAAAGAGAGAAATAAGCTTATGGGCAGAGGATCTTCTTACCTGGACCCTTCCCAATGAGCAGTCCTAATGTTAACATTCACATTTTGTTCAACTGCCAAGCAGGACACACATAAACTTCTTGCATACACGCATGTCATACGCTTGGTACATTAGAAGCGAAACACAAAAGACACAAGAGCACAGTGAAGACTCATAGCGTTTAAGATCAGCGCAATGGAAATTTACCACCTTAATGCGTATAGCGTCAGTGAAGGAGAGGCCACAAAGCAGGGCTATGGTTCCGGTGAACTTTCCAATAGAATGAGCACGAACGAGTTCCAAAGGCAAATTATTCGGTACATTCGCTATTCGCGCACTAAAGAAGCCCACGGAGCGGGAAAAGCTAGAAAGCTGAAACTTTATGGCAATGTTCCTTACTCATGCACGAGCAGAATCAGGTGTTTAGAAGCGTCCGGGTCCACGTGTGGGCATGGGGCACCTTTTTTGCTAGCCGAGGGCGAAGTTTCAGCCGTTAGACCGAGTGCAGGTTGAGTTTCTGCTGAAAATCCAAGAATCCCCTTGAATCTAAGTCGATTTCGACATGGCCGTAAATTAACTGAAAAAAAAAGATTAAATCAGAAACATTTCTCATGATCTCCAGATTCTCCAAACCGAGAAGGGGAAGGCGCCCTTTTGTAACTAGTAGCTGCA